AGCATAGTGTGACAAATGCTACAGTCGATTAGATCAAAACTAGACTCCTGAACCAACGGGAGCAGCTCTGGTTTAAGCCGGAGTCAGATGAGCTGTAACGATGAGAACCAAGTGCACGGAGGACGGACCGCCTCAGAACAATTTATAATTATAACAAACCAAACTGCATCACCTCTGAACCAGCCGCAGGTCTCGAGCGCAGAGGACAGGAGCAACCCGCCCGGACCTGTAGCCCACAGCACATTCTCTCTTTCGGGTCCAGTGCACAGAGGGCGACACGGAACCGCTCAGACCCGGTCCATAAACACAGGCACCGGGAACATGGGGCTGATCCACCAGAGCAGGTTAAATACAGACTGTGGAGACTCTGCACACACTTAAAACAAGCTCATGATTACAACAGAAAAGACATTTGTGTTACTCTGACACTTTTGTTTAGCCTTTGGTGTGGAACGCTCAACTTGGTAAAATAACTACAGAGAGTGCAGACGGACAGAAGACTAACTCCGACTTTGTTTACTCTGCATAATTACCCATGAGCCTCTTTTTACAGGCCTCACTGTGGTTTTATTCACACACTGTGGTAAAAAGTCAAAAAGTTAAATCAACTTATCATCAGGACCATAACACATCTGACTAAACTAACACTAGCTTCTCAAAATCAAATTTATTCTTGTAGATATTTCTTACAGATGGCCTTTTAGTAGATGTATTTTTTGCTCTTGTATCATAACAAAATTGTGTAGCCTTAGTCTACTTCTTGAGACTTTGCAGTATCGGACTGATATCGGTATCGGCCAGTACACAAAGGCCACAGTCTGTGCTTCATGAGGAGCAGGAAGTCAAAGTCACTACACTTTTTATTTTGTGTTGATAATGATGCAGAAATCCACATTTAAAGTTTGATTGAGTTTGTACAAGATATTAAACCTAAAAGCAAACGTGCGTTACCATTAGTTACTCTTTAAACTGTTTATTCACAGCTTTAGAAGTGTGAAACCAATGTGGGCGTGAAAAGAACAAGAACTAACCAGAAGAAGGAAGAGGAAGAGACTAGACTTTTAGAAACTCAAAAGAACCGGACTAAAGTAAAAATGATTGACTCAAAATACTTTTGTTTCTTGTTTTTAATCTTCCTGCATCAATTTGAAGGTAAGACTTGATTTTTTTTGTGATGTGATGTTTTTTCTGTAGTTTTAACTGAGTCGTGTAAAACACAACTAAGTTAATAAAAAGCAATCTGTCATTTTCCACCCAACATTAATTTGACTTTTATTTGCCTTATAAGTGTCATATAATTATGAATTTTACTTGAATTATTTTCAGAATATTTGTTTCTCTTGGTTATTTGTTGTTATAGTTTTTAGTTTCAGTGCATGTTTTCTTCACACTATGATGCAAACTGTGCACGTCACACTGTGGTTTCCTGTTGGATGAAAAAATAGACCAGGCCATTTCTTCACAACTTTATGACAGATATTATCTGTAAGATCAGGCCCGGGCTCAAACAACTCACTATATTTACATTTACAACTGATTTCAAATGGTCAAAGCTGTCAGACGCTCTTGTCCCAGACTAAGTCCAAAAATCCATGAGGCACAAACCACAGACTGTAACAGAAGTGAATAAAGGAGAGTGACGTCACCCACAGCGTCACTTGAGACAAAACAAACAGGGACTAGATTTGGAAATCAGAACCCGAAACCAAAGAGCCAATCAGGAGCGAGGATGTTGAAGGTAACGCCTCTTAGTGTTGTGGGACAAACAATCAGTAATACAGGAAGTAAAACTCAACAACCATTACTTCAGTCTCATCATATATTTGGCCTTGTTAACATTATCACTGCTAATTACCTCCATATGTCACATTTCGTGTCCAACCAGGAAGTAAAATTATAAACTTCTGAAAATATAAAAGTTGAAAAAACTAGGCAAGATTTTTCTGAGTGTGTTTTCAGTGAAATGAGTGGAACCTGTCACATGCACTTGAAGTATTGTAGAGACTAGAGACAATAAAGAGAAACTGGTGTGAGTGTAGGAGCAGAAACACGAGGCTCTGGATTCAAGAGAACCACAGATCATATTTCACTGACACGTTACAAGAATGTTCTGTGTGAAATGAAGAAATGTCCATCTGTGTGTGAAGTAAATATCTGCCTCAGAACAAGTTTCTTACTGATCAGAGACTGCTCTGGAAAATAAAGAAAGGTAAAAATATAGTCCATATTGACTACTACTACGACTACTACTACTCATACTACTACTACATCAGTTTTATGATCATGTTTTCTTTTTTGCAGGAGTCAGATCACAAACTGTTCAAATCGATCGTTTCTCCAGAGCAGGAGAAAACTCCACTCTGCCCTGTGACAGACTCAATCATCCTGGTCCCACCTGCTCTGATGTGAAATGGAGCTTCACTATAAAACCAGTTCATCATCCATCACTAAAGTCTCTGGAGGAAAGGTCCTGGACTCCAGACTGACCCTGAACCCAGACTGTTCTCTCAGTGTTCAGAATGTCACTAAAGAACACACTGGGTTATTCCTCTGTCGTCAGAAGGGTAGAACTGATTTAGACACAAATGTGTATCTGAACGTTCTCACTGGTGAGTCATTTTTAAAGTTTCCATCAGATTCAGTTGTTTTGACTTTTCAAGCTCACAGAGCAACAACAGCTCCCCTCCTCATCCAGTCAGAGCCAATCAAAACTCTGCATGATGGACACTGCTCTGTGACCAGTGAGTCAGTGGAGAAGTGGTTGGCCACACGACACAACACATCATTTCTGTGTCCAATCAGAGCTGCTTATTTGCTGCTCTTGTCTCAAATACAGAAGACATTTGCTCTGAAATATCCTCTCACCTCAACAGTGTTTAGTGCTCTGGCTTTAATTGGACTGAAGCTGTTTCCAGAGCTGCTCTGTAACAGTAAAATGACACTACAGTGTTTGAGGAACTGTACTTCATTAGTTGTTTGTTTGTATTTTTCTTGAAGTCATTAGACTTATTTACATACTCGCCCAATCACATCCTCACTGGATCATTTGAACCCGTCTCAGTGAAGTCTCGACTGGACACTGAAAATAACAAAGAGTGATCATCAATATAATTACAGACTTGTGTTTAGAGATTTGTGAAATCTGGGACGGTGCATTGAATAATATGAATTTAAAAGTGTACATGTATTAAGGTGTTCTGTCTGCAAATTCTAATACAGTTTGTTTTGTGTTTAATCTCAGTGTCTCCAGCTCCACCAGAGCCCGAAAGCCAAAGCCTCATTTTACAGTGCACTCTGTGGAGATACAGTGGACGTACCTGCTCAGCTGGAACTTTAGTTTGGTTGGACCAGAATCAGAAGGTTCTGTCTGAAAAACAGAAGAACTGTGAGTCTAATCTGACAGTGGAGCTCCAGAGTCCACAGATCTGCCCTGTTTGTGAAATTATGACCTGATCAGATTCTAGAACATGGAAGCAGCCTGTGTGGGACAGTGGAGGAATTCATGAGTAAAAAGCTCAGTCAAATAAGATTAAGGCAGTAGACTGTGTGCCATTTATTCTAATATTACAATTAATATCATGAACAGAGAAATAATATCTGTGTGTTTTTCCCCTCAGGTTCCTGATTATGAAAATGAAACAGATCTGTAAGAATCCAAGTCTGTGTCTGATTTGATGGAAATATGGTCACCCTAATCTATACAACCTTTAATTTTAGAAAAACAAAACAAATAGTAGGAGCTTGAGTTTCCCTTTTTTTCTCAATATACAAACATGAGTCCAAAATCTGGATAAGGTTTAAAATCTGTGACTTCTCTTTTGGGAAGTTGACATTTCTTTAGGTCGCCTTCACGTGGGCTCTAATCTGTTTCTTCTGCAGTATTTCCTCACTCTGCATTGGTGAATCTGTAAACTTACATGTGTCTTTAGTACAAGGTGACCTCTCAAACTCTGCTTTGAATCAGAATAATGTGTTTTTACTGTTTGCACCTGCCCTGGAACTACAAAGCTCAAACTAAAAGGCCGGAGCTGATCTATCGCTCGCCGTCAAGTGTCTGGTGGCCAGACCTGGTTCCATGGGGGGGGCCCTGGTAACACCAATCTGGGCAACATCACTGGCCTCTGTGTCGAACTCATCATATGAGGCTTCTGAACTGTTCTTAGTCTGGCCCGTCCCCCAGGACCTGTTTGCCTTGGGTGAGCATGAAGCCCCCAACAACACAGCTCCCGGGATCATTCGGGCACTCAGACCCCTCAAGGAGGGGTTAGAGAGACTACCACAATGAAAAAAAAAACTGCTTTTATTTTCATCTATTTGTTAAATAAAAAGTTATGTACTGTGGCTTTAATTAACACCATGGGCCCTTAATCAGGTCACTAGGCCTCATCATTCCAAACTTTTTGTTCTTTATTAATTAAGTCTTTGCTCAGTCTGTGTTATGGATTAGAGAACAAAAACAGCAACATAAGTAGTTCTAGTTGTAGTTGTATCAAACTGAGGATGAGGTGTTTTCACACATTTCAGTTCTTGCTGTAAAACGTCTAAAAAGGGGAGACGGCCAAAAGCTGAACCACAAAGAGGAAGAGACAGAGCGACAGAAAGAGACGTCTGCGATCGAACAGAAGAAATATGGATTTAAAGAGTGTTTTCTTCCTGTTGTGTTTCTCTCTGCTTCAGTCCAGAGGTGAGCTGCTGCTTTTGAATATGTTTTATTATTATAGACTGCAAACACAGCTTTGTGACAGGAAGTAACATTCAAGTCACAACAGTTACACCAGGAAGTGATTACAGCTGCAAATGGCATTATAGATTCAACTTGCTGTTTATTTGGTCAAATCTAAAATCCACTTCTAAGCAACATTATTGAAACTGTGACGTGGTGGACGAACAATTGAAAATATACGACTTTATTACAATGGGGTTTTGTGTCCGATATAAAAGCATGTCTCTGAGCACAGAGACTGCTGCCCCAAACTAACAGCTGACTGATCAGTGGTGGCAGAGTGGTCGAGGTTCCTGCCTTAAGCACAAAGGTTCCTGGTTCCATACATCCTCCCTGTACAGACTGTGTTCACAGGAGAAGGTCGGGCTGCACACATCTCACCTCCATGTCAATACTCTGCAGCAGCCGCAGCTTCTCACAGCGCTAACGTTAATATATGACTGTTGTTTAGGAACAAAGTGCACTTTGAATTGGATTTGAGCCCAGAAATATCACTTTTTACTCTCAAAACATTGGTCCACTTAAAGGGCCTTTATGTATGTGTATGTTATAATGTTGTTTACTGATCAAAAACAGACCTGGGTTTGTGTTTTCTTTCTTTGTCACGTGTTTAACACATAAACTCTACATATTTAGGCTGAGTTCTTCTCTCAAATGGGAAACGATCTACACACTAACTCTACACTTTTACAATTATAAAACCAATGTTCTCTCCTGTACTCGCCCTGTGAGAATACAGGTGTTCTTTTTACAAACACTCAGCACGTCTAGTGTTTTTGCTTTGTTGCAATGTTGTGCAAGTTCACACTTTTCATGGACTAGTTCAAAGTTCAGTTCATTTTATTTTTAGGTGAGATATGTAAATGAAAGGCTGAACTTATTTTTCATACTGACTTTCAATTTTTTACAACTTTACAACATATAAACATAACGTCTCTAGAGCCACATCAGCCCGTGTGACATTATAATGTGTTTAATGCAGCTTTGACACATTTGTTTATGTTTTACTGAAACAAAACTTAAAACCACATGACTCATTTGCATAAACTGTAAACGCTGGAACAAAAACAGTTCTTTCCTTGTGCGCTGATGCGGTTCAGTTCTGTTGGACTAAAGGACATGACTCAGTGGAATATGAGTGTTCTTTCTGTGACAGAGGGATGATGATGATGATGATGATGGTGATGGTGATGATGATGATGGTGAGTGTGTTCTGTGTGTGTGTCGCGTTGGAGATGGTTCATGTTTTCAGAGATCAGACGTGTGCAGGTTTAGTGCAGATCTTTATTTAATATCATTTCACTTTATTTATGTTGGTCATTATTTATTTTGGCTTCTGTTGTGATGAAAAGACTGAAACCTGTTTGTCTTTTGGACACATGTGACTCAACTTTATGTTACAGTAACTGGAATACTGCCGATACTGCCATGACAAAACTGGGACACTCAAAAAACCCGATCATCCTCGGAACACTGATGTGCTTTAAACAAACTCACTGAGTGGAACAGAGTCTCCAAGGAGTCAGAGCCCAAACATGGGACTGTGAGACTCCAGAGTTTGTCAGACGCAGTCTCGTCTCCTCACACTACACACAGCAGCATACATTCAGTTTGTCGATTAAAAATGAATGTGATCGACGAAATTCTAAACGATCAATTATCGATTATTCGACTAATCATTCCCATCCCTACTTTACACTACGTTACCCAAGATGCATTGCACACACAGATGCTCTCCGGTGAGGCTGTGCAGTTTTTGGGTGGAGGAGCCGTGGGCAGTGAGTGAAAGAACAGTAGTTTAAAAAGTGCAGCAGATCTTCACTTGATTCATCAGGTAAAAACAAATTCTGACGTTTAATTGAACCCAACAGTGACGTACATCATTTATCTCACATAATCTTAACAAATTCACGTTCAGGTTCTTGATTTACAAATCTGATGCGTTCAGTTCAAAGTTAAATGAAAAATGAACGTGTTCTTTTGAACACTGCTTTGTTCATGGAGGTGCCTTCATTCTGAAGTCTTACACCATATGTTTTGTTTTGTTTCATGGTCTTTTCAGGAGACAGTGTAGAGTCCATCAACATCTATCAGTACAACAGAACTGGAGAAGACGTCACTCTGCTCTGTGACAGAGTAAAACATTATGGGCCAAACTGTTCCACAGTGAACTGGAATCACAATAACGGAGATACAAATACATATCTGGTTCGGAAAGGTCAGATTGAGAACAGCCCCACATCCACCAGGCTGACTCTGAATCCAGACTGTTCTCTCTCTATTAAGAACATCACTGAAGGAGACTATGGGAGATACTTCTGTGAAACACTGAACACTCAAAATAAATATTTCACATTTATCTACCTGAGTGTTCTCTCTGGTAAGTTGTGTCTTTTAAACAATTTAAATGAAAATAGCAGCTGTAAAGATCATCTATATCGTGTTTTGTTACATCTGAGAGTTAAAATGAATTTGAAGTTCACAACATCACACCTCCTGAAGTGTCACCACCTTGTGACCTCACATGGTTGAACAGAGTGTTTTGAGTTTATGCATGAGAATGAGACCAATTAGACCAACTGGGAAATACCCAAAGGATTTTTAGGAAACAAAACACAAATGCTGGTTTCTTATTTTCTGAGGAAACAACATTAAAACAACAAATTAATATAATAATAAAAACACCTTTTTTTCTTTTCAGTTTCCGTAACTCAACCTAACCTCAACCAAACTCCAACTGGACACATCACCTTACAGTGTAAACTGTGGAGATTCTCCTCTCGTCGTCAGAACAGTTTTCTCTGGTTGGACATAAACGGCGTGGTCCTGTCTGGAGATGGTGTAACTCAGAAGAACTGTGAGTCTAATCTGACAGTGGAGCTCCAGAGTCCACAGATCAGGACCTTCACCTGTCAGTACCAGGAGAACGACAGGGTCCAGGTGTCTGCAGAGTACAGCCTGATGAGGGACACAGGTGAGGCGAGAATTATTGGCTCTTATTTACTAAACTGCCATATGGTGAAATCTGTGTATATTTGGTGTATGACAGAAATGAGACGCTCTATGAGATGTACACAAATTGTACTTCTCATAAATGAGCATACACACACTGGACTCTCTGATCACATCACTGTTGTGCTGATACCGGCACACAAACAGAGGGTGAAAGTCCCCAAACCGGTTCTGAAGGAGGTCAGAGTGTGGCCAGAGGGGACCTTGTCTGCTCTTCAAGATGCTTTGGCACAACAGACTGGGTCATGTTTAATGAAGCTGCCACACACGACAACATTGTAAACATTGAGGAGTAAACAGACACTGTGACTCTTACATCACCAAACATCGATGATGTGACCCACACAAAAAGCATCATCACTTGGGCTGATCACAAGCCATGGCTGACAGGGGAAGTACACAGGCTGCTGAAGGTCAGAGACAAAGTCTGTGTCCCAATTCAAAGGGCTGCAGCCTCCGAAGGCTGTGCACTCCGCACTCCGTGGACCGCCAGGCCGTTGCAGAAATGGTACAGGTCTAGCCCTCGGAGCCGCTCCCCCGTCGCCCAGCAACCGAGGGACGCTGCTAGCGCTAATGCTAATGCTAACGCTAACACGCTCCGCGCAGATACGCACACGGATCAGTAAAAAGAAAACGCACAGGTCATCAAACTGTCGGATTTTGTGACCAAATTATTTTAATAATTCGCATTCAAATCATATGGCCAAAAACAAAAATGTATGTTTAACTTTTGCAAAACAAAACATCTATATTTAAGGGATACATTTTAAATAGACTAAATTATCTTAAAGTTTTAAAAAACTGTGATGAGATATGCATTACTAAATATTATCATTATTAAGGATTTTTATATTGACCAGGGATTACATTTATACAGTCAGTTTGTAAAGAAAGAAAGACATCTCTCCTGAGAAAAGATGGTTTATTAAACAATCCAAGGAACTTCTGGAAATACTTTATCATAATATGAAGTCAAATATTAAACCCATTACACACACTCTGCATTAACAAGTTAGTACAAACAGCTGTATGTCAGTAAATCTCATTGTGTTCCCTCTTTGCTGAAGCAAGTGACAATCAAAAATTAACAAATTATCTTTGCCAAATATGATCATGTGGAACACCACAGTTTATCTGCAGTACAATAGTACATTCTTATAGTACATGTAATTAGTTACTATCAAAAGAGACACCAAATAAACGGCACATTTCACCATAAATCAAATGTCAGTACAGACTGAAAAACATTCAGAAACACTTATGAGCAGATATTTTCATTTCTGTCTCACACACTTGTTCAGATCATATGAGACTCTGGACCTGCTCCTCAGAGACATCTGGACATGGACATGGACATGGACAGACATTGGAGACATGGACAGTGGAGACATGGACAGTGGACTTGGACCACTCAGTCTGATGTGTCTCTCGTCTTCTGGAGGAGGAAGAGCAGAATGGTTGTTACGTCTGATTGATTCAAAGTTCTGTCCTGCAGAGTGAAAACCTGTAATGACACACACATTAAGAAAACTACAAAACTATTAGAGGAAAATAAGTTTCACAGAGCATGCAGCCCCAAAGAACACCTGGACTCCCTCCGCACTATTTACATTTATTATTATTTATTTACAGTATACACAAGGGAGTGATATATTGATATGTTTTTCGTATGAAGAATTGACAATAAACGTATTTTAACATTGAACTTAAACTTTGATGTACATTCAGATTCAAAGGCAGTTTATATCTGAAACAGCTAAATCAACAGAGGAATCCCACACATTTGAGAAATACATATTTTCACAATTTAAATCATAATTTCAACATGAGCATGATTCATTTGTAGCTCTTTTTATTAGTAGAGTTTTCAATGTAACATGCCCCAGACCTAATTGTTGGCAGGAGTCTGGGTCAGCACCTCCAGCTCAGTGTTGGCTTTACTTTGTCATCTGCATTTGACCCATTTTATGAATCACAAGCATCTTGTCAGCCAACAGTTCTGTGGCCCCTGCAGTGTGTCGCGTCCTCATACAGGAGGCTGCAGATGAGAAAAGAAAATTCATGTAAAACAGATTTCTCATTGTTATAACATTAGATGTGACAGACCGAACAGACACAGTCAGGTCGTATCTACACCAGGTCGTATCTACACCAGTGTCTGCACAAATCTGTTAAACGAGCCTCATGTCCATCATAAATCTGACCTGTCCAGGCAGGATTATTTACTCTTCACTTTACAAACATGCACGGATTGTTAAAAGCAGATAATGTATTCCCTGAATGAAATGCACACGTTGGAGGTTTATATTATGTGATTTACAAGTAAATATGAGCTTTGATAGAGTCAGACTGAGTCTTTTTTCAGTTGAATGTATGAAATAATGTGTGTTTTCATCTTAACTCCGAGCTACACTGACCAACTGTTTACATGTTTACACTGTCCGTGAAAACGTGGAGTTTTCTCCTCGTAGCTTCTTTAAATCAGTCTGTGGGCTTCTTTTCCCTTAACAGTAAAAACATGATTAGTGTTTGATGGAAATCTGTCCAAATATGAAAGTTTGTGCGGACATCGCATTAGCTGCACATTACTAGGCAAACTTTAGCTCAAAACTCTGCAGTTCACGCAGTTAAAAACAAACTTATTTGACATTTTTGTGGGAGTTATGGTCGTATTTTACGTTTACAGTTGCGTTAGTAATGATTTCCTAAAGTTAAAAGTGTTATTCACATGTTTTTCTCCGCCCTCCGGACGGGCTTTTTGCTCCCTGTTTTCGCTCCGTGTTTTCGAACACTGCCGCCGCGCGGTGCATGCTGGGATACTGAAGGCTGCGAAGGATACTCGGATGTGTCCTCCGTTCGTGGCCCCATCTCCATGAAAACGAGGCCGGTTTTAGGGCTGCATTTGAAGGCTGCATGACATAAAAATGAAATGGGACAGGCCTTGTTTCACCAGAAGTGACGTATGCGGCCTTAAAACCAGCCTTCGGAGGCTGTAGCCCTCGAATTGGGACACAGCCAAAGTCTTCAGAGCTCAGGAAGAAGCTGGCCTGAGAACATTGAGAGAAAACTTGTTTGTGTTCTCATTTTTTGCTTTCCTGATACTCCGGAACAAGAAAACCTCCCTTTTCAAGGACAGCAGAAATGCAAAGAGCCTATGGAAGGGCATCCAGGCCATCACACAGAGCTGCAGCACCTCTCTGCTCAATGACCTGAACAGCTCCTGTGCACATTTTGAAGCACAAAACAACACCCACCCACAGAAAACCACACCCCCTCTCCACAACTAGACTCAATGTCTGTCTGCCTCCAGCGTGAAGACGACACTCACCACCATCAACCCACACAAAGCAGCAGGTCCAGACAACATCCCAGGTCATGGGCTGAAGGATTGTGCAGAGGAGCTAAAGGAAGTCTTTACAGACATCTTCAACACGGAGCAAGTCATTGTCCCAACTTGCTTCAAAGCCGCCACCATCATACCAAAGAATACCTGTTCCAAAGAAACCATCCCCATCCTGCTTCAACGACTACAGCCCTGTGGCACCGACGCCATCATCATGAAATCATGAAGTGCATTGAACGGCTCATCAAGTCTCACATTAAATCCACCCACAATGTTCTCTCCTGTACTCGCCCTGTGAGAATACAGGTGTTCTTTTTACAAACACTGAGCACGTCTAGTGTTTTTGCTTTGTTCATGGAGGTGCTTTCATTCTGAAGTCTTACAGCATATGTTTTGTTTTGTTTCAGTTTTTTCAGAAGACAGTGCAGATTTCATCAAAATCTATCAGTACAAGAGAACTGGAGAAGACGTCACTCTGCTCTGTGACAGAGCAAAACATTATGGGCCAAACTGTTCCACAGTGAACTGGAGTCGCTATAACAGAAATTATACATTTCTAGTTTGGAAAGGTCAGATTGAGAACAGTCCCAGATCCACCAGACTGACTCTGAATCCAGACTGTTCTCTCTCTATTAAGAACATCACTGAAGGAGACTACGGGGAATACTTCTGTGGAACACTGAACAATCAAAATAAATATGAATCATTCACATTTATCTACCTGAGTGTTCTCTCTGGTAAGTTGTGTCTTTTAAACAATTTAAATGAAAACAGCAGCTGTAAAGATCATCTATATCGTGTTTTGTTAAAATGAATTTGAAGTTCATAACATCGCTCCTCCTCAAGTGTTTTGAGTTTATGCATGAGAAGAGAGATGAGACCAATACATGCATCATGAATTTTGGACTTCCGGTCATCGTGCAATGCATATTGGGAAGGAATTTCCAAAAAAGTGAGCATCTAACCACCATGTTTGATTTCCCAGTGGGATGTGTCTATTGTAAAAGCTGATCTTTTCAAGCGAACTCCATAAATACAAAAGTGAATCAGATGTGTGTGACTGCAAACCTCCGTTCAAACTGTCCCTTTCCAATGGAATTGAAAAATAGTGAAAGGTGATGGGCAGGATTGATCCACAGGAAGAACCAAAAAGGAAATTTTTGGCTGCCTAAATCATCCCCAGTTTGCAGCGAACATTTTGTATGTGGAGCGACGACAAAGCAAAATCCCGATCCCTCGCTCAACCTTTTTTAAGAATTTAAAAAGTCAACACCAAAGTGAAAGGCTCCAGCTGTCAGTGTTGGGAAGGTGACTTTTAAAATGTATTCCCCTACAGATTACAGATTACATACCCCAAAATGTAGTTTGTAATGTAATCCATTAAATTACTTACAGTGAGTAATGTAATCTGAATACTTTGGATTACTTGATTTGCTGTAGAGAAAGACTAGGATATTGTAACATAAGATGTTTTGTCTGCTAAAAGAAAATGAAAAGCACAGACTTTACTGAACCATATTAAAAATATTATTGATAGAAGACGAGGAGACACGGTCCGTGCATCTTGATTTAGTCCCGTTAAATCCTGTTTGAGACATAGTTTAGACCTGGTTATAGTC